ATATATATATATATATATAACTCTAATATAAACGCCTCCGCGATCGCGTCCGACTCCGTGCCGCGTTGCGATTCTCTCCGCACTCTAGTCACGGGTGTTTACTCGTAACGCTCTTCGCTCCTCTCTGCTTATTCCAACACTCGTTTCGTTCATTTAATAATCATTACCGCGTCTCGCTATTACATATTTATTTTCCCGAATGGCCTCCAAAGGCACTGTCACACAATCGTTTACGCAATTCACATAATCCATTTCCCGGCCTGCATTGCGGCATTTTATACAATCATTTCCGTAGCAGCGGTTTATTCCGATTTCTAATACAATATCATTTCGCGCGGGTAAGGTCATCCGCCTCTGCTCGTTATCGTGTCTGAGCTCCGACTATCTTTTACATTATTCACTATATTATATTATCTTTAGATACTCGCGGGTAAAATCGTCCGCCTGTTAGATACGCGCGGGTAAAATCGTCCGCCTGTGCTCGTTATCAGGTCTGAGCGCCCACTCCTTATACATTGTTCACTATATTATATTATCTTTAGATACGCGCGGGTAAAATCGTCCGCCTCTTAGATACGCGCGGGTAAAATCGTCCGCCTGTTAGATACGCGCGGGTAAAATCGTCCGCCTGTGCTCGTTATCAGGTCTGAGCTTCGACTATCTTTACATTCTCTCATCCCTCGCTACTCGCGCTCTCGCCGTGCGACTCCCTTTTCGCGCATGCGCCGCTCGCGCTTCTCCCCTCTATTCGCATTTCGCTCATGCAACCTATGCGTTACATTCCTCATGCGCGCGTGTGTATACTTGATTTCTATTCATATTTCTCGTTGCTTTTATCGCTCTTTCCATCTACGTGGTCTCGATTGCGTTATCTCTTATCGTTGCTCGTCGCTCGTGCTTGCGACTTTATCTATTATGCTGGCTCTGGCTGGCTTTCGACGGGAGTCTGCAGCCTCGCGTCTACTCGCTGCACATCGCCTCTCGCGCTCCTACATCCGCGTTACCTCGCGCACGCACACACACTCGCGCGTGTCCGTTTCTTTTTCTCTCTTCATTCTCAACTCGCGTCCGCGACTACATGTTCGCTCCGATACATTGGTATCGCGACGCATTGTCCGTCCGTTCCACGGATCACTTTTCCTCGCGTTCGCTTTATGCGCGGATCCGCATCGTCGGCCACTTCCGGTCCGATCGATATTACGATTTCGATCCGATGGATCGTTTCAACTCACTTCCGCCTTTCCGTTCTACGGATCATCCTACGCCTGTCACTCCGCTAACGCGTGTCTGTCTTTTCTCATACGCTCAGTATCGCGTGTACAAAGATTTCCCTCGGATGGGTCGCTGCAGTTTCGTTTCGTCTAACACTTCCACGGATTACATTTTTCCCGTCGTGTTTCCTTCCCTGACCTAGCTCGGTGGACGACCTCGTCCCCTTGCACTTTTTCCATAACTGCTCCACTAGCCGCGTCTCGTCGCGTGTCCCGCTACTTTCTCACGGATCACTTACTTCCTACGTCGCTTCGCGCGCTTATCCGTATAATATAGGTTTTGACACTCTCTATTCTTTTCCGCTATATTACTCTGCCGTCTATATTAATTGCCCCCTTACCGGCTTTCCTCATTCGCTTCGCGCGTATACCTTACGACATTATTCAACTTTCCGATCCGTGATCGGTGACTTTGTACGTCTAACATCGACAACAATCGAAATACATCCCTTTCACGCTACCGCGTCCGGCTCCGTTCACCGTTTGCTCCGCGTTGCGCTACCACGTTCGGCCAACCCGGCTCGAAACATTAACTTATAAACTTACGCCTATCGGCATGAAAAGAAAAGCAAACAACGTGAAAACAATTCGCTCGTCCTATTATCCGGACTACTTCCAATTCCGCGCGTCCGCGCCCCGTCGCTACCAACATTCCTCTCTCTCTCTCGCTTGCATTCATTCTCTCACTCGCTCCCCCGACTATTCGCGTGTCGCGAGATGCGGCCCGTGGCTGGCTCGCCAGTGACGGTCGCAACGTCAGGTGCCCTAATAAGGTCCTGACCATAAATTTGACGTCGAGAATTAAGATTGCCTGATTAGGATTTTCTTATCAGGCCCAGATATTATCAGGGAATGGAAAGTTACTTTTTAAAAATAACTAGTTACAGTTACTCGTTACCGAGTAAAAAATGTAACGAGTTACAGTTACAGTTATCGCTTTTTAAAAGTAACTCGTTACAGTTACCGTTACTCGAAAAATAACTTTTCGTTACTTTTCCGTTACTTTTTTAAAATCAATTTAAAAATGTACTTTTGCATTTTTTGTATTTTTTTTTTATATGTAACACTGACAAATATATAGTTTTATTTTTTTAAAAAATAATGTAGAATGGCTCAAATAATAAATTAAATAAAAATAAAATGAGAATGGTTACGAGCCAAAAATGAAACAGTTTATTTCCGATAAGAACGACGATGACAATGTAATTAAATGTATAAATATATATTAGAACAATAACATGGATAAAACATGATAAAAACAAACGACGTTTCGACACTTATTGTCATCGTCTTATTGGAAATAAACTGTTTCGCTTTTGGATTCGTAGCCATCTCATTTTTCTTTTATTTAATTTATTTTTTAATTTTTTAAAAACACAATTTTGTAATTCTAAAATCTGTAAAATATGCAGAAAACTGAAATATTTGTATGGTCCTATGTATTACATAGAAGATAGAAGTGTAAAATAATTACTGAATCATGACGGCCGAATGTCTAAGGGCTTTCAAGTCTTATTGATAAGCGCTATAAATGACATGTATCCAATCGAATCGTGTTCAATCGTGTGCAAAGTAACGACAAAAGTAACTGTAAATTTCGTTACCGTTACCCAAAAAATGTAACTCGTTACCGTTACAGTTACCAAAAAAAGAAAGTAACGCAGTTACCAGTAAAGTTACCAAAAAAATAACTTGTAACTGTAACTTCGTTACAAGTAACGAGTTACTTCCATTCCCTGGATATTATCCATATGAGGGCCTATGATTGCCCCTTGTTGCACCTTACGTTTTCAATCATGGTGCAGTAATACATAATCTGGCCCAGGTAAGGTTATCTGATTTGGTCTAACCAAGATGTGTAACGCATTGCATGTTCAGAACCGGATTTCATTTACCTTTTGAGATTTTAGAATAAAATCGTGAAAAAAAAATTTCTTCTAAATTCGAGAATTAATTTTTTTTCATGATGCTTTCCAAACGGTAGTAGTAGTATGTTTTGTTTATTGAAAATAATTTCTTCCCAAACGGTCACCCATCCGAAATTGTACCACGACCTCGCATGCTTAACCTTGATAATCGTACGGGACTGCTGTACTTCGATGATCCACGAATCTGTATATGTCAACGTCTGTATAATTGTGTTATATCTGGTCAATGGAAATATTAAAAACAGATAGTTTATGTGTTTATATGACAGTGTATTTATATAATAGGAAAACAAAATAGAATCTCTTTGTGTTCCTTTTTTTTAAGGATATTTCATAGGAATACAACAAAGAAAAGATAGGGAAATTTCCACACGGGTATATATATATACATATATATTTAGATTGTAAAACTTTTTTAAGGATGACTGGAAAAGGTCTTGACTGACGCCGTATCAAGCATGCCTGACTGATCTTTAAAATTAATTTTGAGGATGAAATAAAAAGGTCCTATAAAGGTACTGATCTAGCATGCCATAGTTAAGTATGCCTTATTCATACCTGATCAGGGCCTTATACGACATTTTAGTATAATTTCCGACTAGGGAATACCTTTCCACTTCCTGATCAGGCCCAAATGATGAGTTCCAGAGTACGGCATACCTTACTATTTCCTGATGAGGGCCTTATCGTACATTAGGCATGCCCTAACAAATTTCTGCTCGGGCACTCGCGTACATTCGATGCTGGATACAGTTCACAGTTTTTCGTGTTTATACCCATAACGGTGCGTTTATCGCCCGCTACGAACTCACCGTTGAACGCGGTGTTCACTTTCACGCAGTGTTGCCAAGTTGGGGGATTTTTCCCTAAATTTAGGGGATTTTTATCTCCACCGGGGATTTTTTGGGGGGTCAAAAAGTTTAGGGGAATTTTTAGGGGACTTTTTAGGAGGCCGGCATGCCTCTCTTAGGTTTTTTCTACTAATAGCGGTTTATGCCCGCGGTCGTTATAAAACAAAGTACGATCGGAGAGACTGTAACGTCTACAAAAATTGCTGCACAAAAGCTCTATAAATATTTATCAATTATAATAAATATGGATAAGAAATACTCGCAAACGTATAAGAAAGCTTGGGAAAAAGATCCAGACTTAAGTACGTAATTATATCTCTAACTATAATTTCCTTGACACATCAATATCAATTACATCGTTCTTAAGTTCATTCAGATGTTATTAATAAATCGTATAGTATAATAATTATTATAAATGTGATGATTATGTATGATCTAATTGATTTTATAAAACATTTCATATATTTAAATATTTATCAAAAATTAATCAAAATAGAAAAATTTGTTTACTAATGATTCACATAATACAAAATTCTCTTGAATTAAGTAGTTTGAATTGACATAAAAATTACATTTTTTATAGCATGGCTTGCACCTGATCCAACAGGATGTACCACACGAGCATTT